CGTAATAATAGAGGCTATTTTTTATCGTATTCAGTACATATGTGCAGTATATAATTATAGTGTATGTGTGTGAATGTGTGTGTGTATGTGTGTGTGTGTGTTTGTGCGAATGTGTGTGTATTTGTGTGTATTTGTATGAGTGTGTGTGTGTGTGCGAGTATGTGTGTGTGTGTGTTTGTGTGTATATGTATGAACGTATGTGTGTGCGTATGTGTGTGTATGTGTATGCGTGTGTGTGTGCGCGTGTGTGTATGTTTATGTAAAGGGTATATATAACACACGCACATAAATTTGTATACACATATGTATGTACAATACAGTGTTTCAGTATATAAAACAGATTGCGTTGTAAAGTGTTATATGAAATAAATTCATACTAATTTAAATACATTTAATAGCATATGACTTTTTCCACTTTTCTTTTTCTCTTTTATGAATTTCATTTATTCTGTCATTCTTTTTTTGGTTCAGTATTTCATTTGGATATGTACTATTTCATATAATTTTTTTTTCTTTTTTTTTTCATTTTGATTCATATTGTTCATAAAAAGATCATGACATTGATTACTTTTCGTCCATCAATATATGATGTTAAGATAATCAAATCATATGTTATTTTCAACACCTCGAATAAAGCCACAATAAAACAAAACACATTCATATTTGAAAATAAAAGAAAAAAAGTCGAGTTGAAACCATATATTTGCAAAATTTCACCATTTGTAAATCCTGCTTCAATCTCCTAGTCGAAAATTTGGCCCTTTCTCTATTTATATAATATTTAAAAGAAATTCATATCTGAATGTTACCGAATATCAACACATGTTTATTATTCATTATTTTTTTTTTTAAAAGGGTTTTAATAGGAACAATATGTAAGAAACTTTCTATAGAACTTTTCTACATGTACAGGCAAGACTTTGTTTTGAAATGAAAACTACATAAATATAGGAGAGGGTGGTTCCACCTGGATTTTGTTTGTGCGTGTGTAAGTAAGTATGTGTGTGTGTGTGTGTATTTGTTGTGTGTGTGTGTGTGTGTGTGTGTGTGTGTGTGTGTGTGTGTGTGTGTCTGCGCGCGCACTTCTGCTTGTACACTTGATTCTGTGGCGTTGATTATGACAAAGTGAAAAATAGATATGTACTGTAGGTACCAAGGAACATGTGGAAATGAATATGTATTCGTACAACATGAACGAGAGAGAGAGAGAGAGGAAGAGACGGGGAGAGCGAAAGAGGAAGAGAGAGAGAGTAAGAGAAGGATAGAGTAAGAGAGAGAGAGAGAGAGAGAGAGAGAGAGAGAGAGAGAGAGAGAGAGAGAGAGAGAGAGAGAGAGAGAGAGAGAGAGAGAGGGGGTGCGTTTGCGCGCGCATTGTGTGCGTGTGCACATGTGGATATATTCTTATGCGTTTGTATCTGTGTGCGAATACACACGCAAATGTACAAATATTGGTAAATATTCCTACATCTGAGCATTTTACGTTTTAGACATATTTCCCATTTTCACCTTTACTATCTTTTCAAAGATATGTGTATCTATAAATTATATATAAGTCTGAGTATAAATGATTGTATCTTATTACTATGATAACCTGGCTTGCTCTTACATAATTTAAAAGAGTTCGTAAAAAAGGTATATATTATTATTAATTATTATTAAAATTATTAAGTATGATTTGTCTTGTTTTTTTTTATTTTTTATTTTTTTGATATCTTCTCAGAATCGTCATTTGGTATTATAATTCCTCTGCAAGATTTTTATTCCTTATTATAAGTTTGTAAATGCTTTAATCACAAGTGGTAATTATTAATAATCTCTCCTTTTACTTTAGACACTTGTAAGTCTTTTCATATATTTTTTTTTGTATTCGTAAATTCCAAAACTGATCAAAGATATGGCAATTTAGAATTATCATTTGAGAGAGATTTAATTGATTAAAAAAATATCAAATACAGTTTCCAAATATTCTTGCCTTTCTGTAACTTCCAAAATCTCCGAACATAATGAATGTCTTTGTTTCTCTCTCAAATTAGGATTTATTTCATGTGCACATACACATTAGACTGGACATCTCACAAGCTATTAACTTAAAATTGAAAATAAAACCTAAGCAAATCACTGAAAAAAACACTGATTTAGGGACACCTCAGAACTTTTGTTTTAAAATCTAGTGGAGCATCTCACTCCCTAACCTACGAGAGAAGAAGTGTAAACTACTTTTCCTTATTTAGAAAAAAAAATCTCACTCTTTCAAAGAAATCGGATAAAAAACAAATGAACGTCTGGAACCACCCTCACTCACAGCACCACGAAGCCTAATCTTCATTCCACTCAGGCCACAGGAACGTCGAGTAATAGGAAACTATGGGATACACAATCTTTATCCCACAGTATCCTTAACATCGTGGAGAGAAAAAAGTTCAGTAATATTTTTTTGAAAAGAGTTCCCTACTGAGGCTTAAATGGAAGGGAGAACACAGCTTTTATATATCTAGGCATTAAGCTGCTTACACTTATAGAATTTCCCCTTCGGATTCTATAGTTTGGATTAAAATGGCAGAGAATGTTGGATTCATGGAGCTATTTCTGTGTCAATGGCAAAATGATTATGCTTCCACCTTCCAAATTAATCAAACAAATAAACATGGCCTACTATTTAAAAAAAATATGATCAAAATTACCATAAAATAATGTTTAGCAAAACAATCGTACTCTCAAAACATGTCATTGTTTTCCCTTCATATTATTATTCTTTTCTATCTATTTCTCAAACTGAAAATAAATAAGTCACACATACACAAAAAGAAGATCTCATTAAATTTCCTTCCTCTCTCTCTTCCTCGTGTTCCTACGCTTACTTATCAATACATCATAAGAGCTTTTAAAATAACCTATGGATGTCATGATGATGGAAAAGGACGTGAGCAATGTAATATCGAAGCCATGGAGAGTTAGTACACATCCACACCAATAAAGATCCCTACAGAAGCTATTGTACACAGAATGGGGTATCAACATGGACACTTGTGAGACTCTGAGAATGTAAGGGTATAATTTTGGTAACATTTTATTCCAGACTACAAAATGTCTTTTTTTTTTTCTTAAACCTCAGATACTTCATCACATAGCATCTACAGATGATCAAGCAACAGTGAAGAAGAAGGAAATAAAAAAACATTGGAGCCTCATCAAGGACATTTCTTTCTGCTGAGATAATGATGATGATAATGATAAAAATTAAAATATATATCCACGTCTAAATAGTAAAAAATTGAGGTCTTACAATTTGACAATTTATTTATATTCATTTATCTTTTTTTTCTTCTTTTTTTTAATCGTCTTATCCATTTTGTCCTCTGAAAAAATGTCCCTGAGTTGGCGTCTTGTTCCAAAAGTCTGAGTCTGTCTCTCAGCCTTTCCCACCTCCCCTCCCCTCCCCTCCCCTCCCTTCCCCCACCCTAGTAATTAAACCCCCCATTAACCCCGTCCCCACCCCCCCATCCCCACTTCCCTTAGATGAGCTCCTAAGAAAAAAACCTAAACCTACATTTCCTGGATGTTTTTTTTTTCTCCAGGACATTACAAATACACAGTAATTTTCTACACAACATAAAAGATCTCTTGAACCAACTGGGCTGTGGGGACCCTAACTGACCCGACGGGAACCACAAAGACCATTAAAACGAAAGAGAAAAAACGAAAAGAAAAAGAAAAAAATAAGATGAAAAAAAGAAACAATAAAACGAAAACGAAAAAAAAAAACGCAGAAAAGACATCAAAACGAAAAGAAAAACAAGGAAAACAAAACTCCAAAACAAGAAAAAGAAGAAAACAAACCCCCCACAAAACTCCCATTAAAACGAAAAGAAAACGAAAAAAACGAACAAAATACGAGAAGGACCTCTTTACTCTTGGACGCCAAAGGGACAAGGACAACTTGGAGAGCGAGAGTCAAAAGGTCCATTCAAGACAAAGCCATTTATTTGTCGTCCTCAGCACCTGAGCCAAAAGAACCGAGAGCAACAAATCCATGGCTGGAAACGTGGATGTCTGGAGCGCCTACATCGAGAAATAGATAGATAGATAGATAGACAGATAGATGGGGATAGATAGATAGGTGGGGAGAGAGATAGATAGATAGGTAGATAGATGAATAGATCGATCGATAGATAGAGGTGGGGAGATAGATAGATAGATAGATAGATAGACAGATAGATGGATAGAGATGGATAGATCGATCGATAGAGGTGGGGAGATAGAGAGATAAAGATAGATAGATAGAGATAGATAGAGAGAGAGCGAGAGAGAGAAGGAGGGAGGAAGGGATAGAAAGAGAGTGAGAGAGAGAGGGAAGTAAGAAGAGAGAGCGAGGGAGGGAAGGAGAGAGAATGAGAGGAGAGATAGGGAGGGAAGGAGAGGGAAAGAGAGAAGGAGAGATAGTGAGGGAAAGAAAGAGACTGACAAAAAGGCTTAGGCAGATATAGAGATAGAGATAGAGAAAGAGAAAGAACAGAGGAAGATAAAGAGAGAAGGAGATAGAGAGACAGAGAGAGAGAGAAGAAGGAAAGGGGAAGGGAGAAAGAGAGACAGAGCTAAACAGACACTCAAAAAAAAAAAAAAAAAAAAATCAGAGAGAGACAAAGACAAAGACAGAAAGAGACAAAATGTAGATAAACAGACTAAAGACACAGAAATAAAAAAAAATAAAAAAATAAAATAAAATAAAAAATACTGGATCCCGTGAGCCTGACGGAACCCAGAGCCCACCCGGTTCATGAAGACCCAGCGCCCACCTGGTTCACATGACTCAAACAGGCATTGAACCACGTGGCTCACCTGCGCCCTTGTAGCGGCAGGAGGGTGAAGTTGGCACGAAACAGTAAGGTCAGTAAGTAAACAGTTGTGACAGTAATGAAGTTCACTGAGTCAGTAACAGCATGAAAAAAAAAAAAAACACACAAAAGTCTCCTACTCTCAGCAGACCTCAAGGGGAATTACAATCTTTGTGTGAATTCCAGATTTGATTTATTGAATATTCTCTATATTACAAGAACGAAGCATTTCTTAAGAGTTAAGAATGACCTACAGTTGCCATACTGTCACATGCCACCCTCACAGAAGTACGATTCCCTAATACCCTAATGGAATCCATATTGATTATGTTGTTCTTTCAGCAGAAGCATTTGGCCTCTGCTTAATACAGGAAAGGTTTTCTTTGGAAAACCATGGAAACGGGTGAAAGGAGTCAATTACATTTTCAACATTACAGGAAATATATATATGTATGTATATATGTATATATATATATAATCACAGCAATATAAAATTGTTAAGTTCACAACAAACATTCCAAATAAACCTTAGCAACTATTATGATGAACGTAAATAGAACACCATGCAAGGGGGGCCAACATAGTTACTGGCTCTACTCTACAAAAATATCATTCATTTGACATTGTTTTATAATCTAAATGGACTATATGCTATATGCGTTGAATGTATGAAATGTACAATGAATATTCATATATAAAAAAATATCTGCCCCTATTCAGGTTGAATTTAGTACGGTAGTCAGATAAGCTATCCATCATATCTTTTTTTTTTGAAACTACATGATTTCGGGACTAAACAAAGTGAAAAAAGAGATAATTCAAAGAAAGGTCAAGCTAATAGTATTCATTCTGACCAGTACAAATACAAATACAATTATAGATGTAATTGTTGTTCTCTTCAGGGAGGTGTTAAAAAACAAAGAGAGAGAGACACACAATGCATTTCAATCTCTGACACACTGGAAGGCCTTGCAAAACCTTCCGTCCCAAAACTTAGTGTAACCTTCAGGGGGAGTCGAAAGATACCTCATAGCATAATACAAGCCTTAAACAATACAAGGAGTAGAACCAATACCTTCTGTCGCCTTGACCTTCACTCCAAAAGGCAAAACCCATGATTTACAAAGAAGTGACACACAGTTCACACAGGCAGGTCATTCCAACATTTAACTTTTTTTCCCAGCAACTTAAGACAAAAAAGAAAACAGACTCTGAGGGTAGTCAACACTGTATATTATCATATATATAAAAAAATGGCTTAGGGTTAAGATGTACAGAGGGGCATTCAAAATGTACCTTGGGACATCTTCATTGCAAACTGGCAAGGCAGGAATATCATACGTGAATTTTGGAATGCTTATGGCGTGCTGTTAATAGTCTTCTGTTCACGACGCAAGAGACAAGGCTGGCGTTTATCCATGCTGCAAGCAAGAGGTCCGAAGATCATGTCAAAGATGATAAGTTTTCATGTGCTTCATATATAATACAAATGTGCCTGAATGTCCTAATTAAACAGTAATTACTGTATGTACAAGATATTATTTTCTATTCCATCATAACATTAAAAGAAGAATACAGCTAGGCATTCACAATTTTTTTGTTTCACAAGAACAGTGTAACTGTACACGAACTTAACACACTTACCAAGAAATTTATAAAAATATTTAATAAATATGTATTTATTCTTAAGTAGTTTTAAACCAATGTTTATTGCTAGACAATACTGTATCCAAAAATGATATACTCAATCACAAAGAATAAATAAGAAAAAAAATGTATAGCCAATACCAATAACTTTAATAATCATAATAATCATAATCATAATAATTACAGTCATAATAATACCACTAATATTATACCAACAACAACAATAATTTCTGAAAAACCGTACCTCAATCTACAGAACTCTTTTCAAGAGTGTTTCAGCCATATTACTACATATAGTAAAACGTGACAGACACCAAACACGTGTAGCTCTTGGGGTTCAAAAGCACATACAAAATAATCGTCATGAAGAACGTACACACTAGAGCATGTCACACACTGTACTGTTCCCAATAAATTCAGCTATTACAATTCTACACTTGGTATATATATATGTATGAATATATAAAAAGAAAGAAAGAAAGAAAGATAGAGAGAGAGAGACAAAAAAAAACTATCGATATTTACAACACGAATAGCAAAAATTGAAGAAAAGATTCAGAATACCGTGAATCCATGGACAGTGTTAGCCATAGGACTGTCCTCAAGATCAACCTAACCTGTATCCATTTAAGTCTTATAAATTACAAGGTAAAAGTCCTTACTTGGTGTGTGTTATGAAGGGTATAGTTATGCAAAATACAATGTTCCCTTTCCTTAGTTTTTAAAGGTATGATTTTAGGGAATCACAAGGAGATAAGACAAGTGATAAATTAATTAAATAGATGACGGAGATGGGGGGAGAATAGGAAGACGAGAAGAGGATATAGAAGAGGAAGAAAAGTTGAAAATAAAGGAATAGAGGAGAATGAGAAGTAGATGAATAAAGAAAAAAAAGATCCAAACAAACTTTCACAAAAAAGTAAAAGAAAAAAGAAAAAGAATAAGAAGAAAAGAAAACGAAAAAACAGAAAACGGGGAAAATGAGATTCTGTAAACACTGCTAAACTGGCTGTTGGAATTTGATAGTGGATGGGGTACGATATTACAGGGTAGCACTACTGAAGTCCACAGTTTCATCTAAGTGGCAGCATTAAGGCAGGCAGAAGAACCGCAGCAAGAGTGGCTTGGTATGTGTGCAGAGGAGCCAAGGTCGAGCCGCTGCTAATACCTTCCTGACGAAGGTTGTAGCCGCTGTCCACCACGTGTATCTTCCAGCCGAGGTTCCGGTGGGTGTAACACTGAAAGTTGGAGTTAATCGCGTGAGAAACTGAACTGGTATTGGATTCATTGAGGGTGAATGGTAAGTGTTGGTGGTACTGTAAGAGGAAAGTATTACAGTATTACAGCTGAAGCAGTTTTTTTTTTTTTCTTTTTTCTTTTTTTTGGGAGGGGGGTGAATTTTGAAAAAAAGAGGGTGGATTTACGGATTTATCACTTCTCTATTAGTCTATTTTTATTTTTATTTTTTTGTTTGGATTGTTTAAATTATAATCACGGTTCAAGATTATGAAGAAAAAAATCCACAATTTGGAGAATTCTGCCCATCCTGACAATTTTGAAATTCTCTGCCTACATTTCTCTACACACACTAATATATATCAATGCTGATATTTCCCTTCCTCTACTGTATTTTTCTACGTGCACTGAAATTTCTCTACCTACAAAGATATTTGTCTACCTACTCTACATTTTCTTATATACACTAAAATTTCTATACATTCAATACTTCTATCGTTATACAGACATTCCTTTACCAACACTATTCTTCTCTCCTCACACTGAAATTTTCAATCACTGTATTTCTCTGAATACACAGATATTTCTTTCCTACACTGTATTCCTTTGTATACACTGAAATTTTACATAAAGTGACGTTAGACCTGTACTGTATTTCTCTATAAACATTGGCTTTTCTCAACCTGTACTGACATATCTCTATCTACTCTATATTTCCTTAAATACGCTGTAAATTTATTGCAAATATTAATACCTCTTTACATACATAGCAATTTCTCTCACACACATAGAGTCACTCAACTCACATGGGCATTTTTCTACACATACTCTCCATACGCTCACAAAACCTCTCTTCTTAAAACTATTCTCTTCACATAAACACATTTCCACACACAAGCACTACCCACCCAGTAATACATACTAATATCTCCTTATATACATAACATTTCCCAACCACCAGCTAACCTCTCTCCCCTTCCACAAGTCTCCTTCCATACAACCAGGGCCGGATTATCCTATAGGCTAGGGCTTGGTTATAAAAAATGTTTTTTTTTTCACTACGGTTGTGTTGAAATATAGTAAAATAGTGGTATTTAAAAATTTTTTTTTTTATTTAAATTTGCAATAAGTTTACTTCAAGCTATGTAAATGTCACTAAAATGTATCACAAGTAAAAAATAATCTGAGGGGGCCCCATAATTTTATTAGCCCCGAGGCCCCAAAAGGTCATACTCCGGCCCTGCATATAACAAGGTCTCCTAACACACACACACAAAAACATCACCCACCTGGTAGTACACTAAATCCGGGGTGTCTTCTGCCACTGTCCAAACAAGGGAGCCAGGGGGGTCGGCGTCGCAGTCTTTATAGAGGGTCTCCTTGTATTCCTCAAAGGTGATACTGTCTTCCCAGGCGTCGATTCCTTCGTGGCGCCACTCGCACAGACCTCCGGCTGGAAAAAGGGGGGAGGGGAAGGTTAGAGTAAGAAAGGTGGGAGGGAAGAAATGAAGGAAAGAGAGAGAGAGAGAGAGAGAGAGAGAGAGAGAGAGAGAGAGAGAGAGAGAGAGAGAGAGAGAGAGAGAGAGAGAGAAGAAAGAAACAAGACGTCTTACTAATACAATATCAGACAATGAAGCTTCCAACACGAAAAATAGTCTCAACCAACTTACAAAAAACAAAAACAAAAAACAAAACAAAAAAAACAAAAACAAATCATTTTCTTGCTTCCTACCATCATAAGATACCCAAACACACATCCACCACACAAATTTACCAACCCACTCACCTCTTCCTCCATTCCAAGACACAATCCTCCTCATCCATCATCTCCAATTACCATCTTTATCCATTTATCTATTTCCATCACTTACCAGCAGTTGCGTCTGGCATTCCCATCTTGGAGTAGGAGATACCAGCGAACACTCTCTCCTGCTTCTGTTCCTCGACTGTCTTCTGGCCGAATCCTCCCTCGGCGCTGCTGGTGATGTAGAGAGGGTGGTACCTGACGGGGAATAAAGAAAAGGAGAATGAGAAGGAGAAGAAAAAAAGGAGAAGAATAAAGAAAAGGAGAATGAGAAGGAGAAGAAAAAAAGGAGAAGAATAAAGAAAAGGAGAATGAGAAGGAGAAGAAAAAAAGGAGAAGAATAAAGAAAAGGAGAATGAGAAGGAGAAGAAAAAAAGGAGAAGAATAAAGAAAAGGAGAATGAGAAGGAGAAGAAAAAAAGGAGAAGAATAAAGAAAAGGAGAATGAGAAGGAGAAGAAAAAAAGGAGAAGAATAAAGAAAAGGAGAATGAGAAGGAGAAGAAAAAAAGGAGAAGAATAAAGAAAAGGAGAATGAGAAGGAGAAGAAAAAAAGGAGAAGAATAAAGAAAAGGAGAATGAGAAGGAGAAGAAAAAAAGGAGAAGAATAAAGAAAAGGAGAATGAGAAGGAGAAGAAAAAAAGGAGAAGAATAAAGAAAAGGAGAATGAGAAGGAGAAGAAAAAAAGGAGAAGAATAAAGAAAAGGAGAATGAGAAGGAGAAGAAAAAAAGGAGAAGAATAAAGAAAAGGAGAATGAGAAGGAGAAGAAAAAAAGGAGAAGAATAAAGAAAAGGAGAATGAGAAGGAGAAGAAAAAAAGAAAAGAAAAGAGAAAAAGAAACAGAGGATAAAGAAGAAGAGAAATAAATGGGAGGATAAAATAAGATCCGGTCGAGGAATAAAGAAAAGGAGAATGAGAAGGAGAAGAAAAAAAAAGAAAAGAAAGAAAAAGAAACAGAGGATAAAGAAGAAGAGAAATAAATGGGAGAATAAAAAAATATCCGGTCGAGGAATAAATAAAAGGAGAATGAGAAGAGAAGAAAAAAAGAAAAGAAAAGAAAAAAAAAGAAATAGAGGACAAAGAAGAGAAATAAATGGGAGGATAAAATAAGATCCGGTCGAGGAATAAAGAAAAGGAGAATGAGAAGGAGAAGAAAAAAAGAAAAGAAAAAAAGAAGACATAGAAGAAGTAGAAAAAGAGAAGACGAAGAAGAAGAGGAATAAATGGGAGAATGAAAGTAAAAAATCTAGTCGAGGAATGAAATAGGAGAATGAGGAGGAGAGAGAAAAAAGAAAAGAAAAAGAAGACAAAGAAGAAGAGAAATAAATAGGAGCATGAAAGAAAAAAATCTAGTCGAAGGATAAAAAGGATAATGAGAAGAAGGAGAAAAATGAAAAGAAAAAGAAGACAAAGATGAAGAAAAATAAATAGGCGAATAAAAAAAATCCAGTCGAGGAATAAAAACGGAAAATGAGAAGTGGAAGAAAAAAGAAAAGAAAAAGATAAATACCCAGGAAGACAAAGAAGAAGAGAAATAAATAGGAGAATGAAAAAAAAAAAAAAAATCCAGTCGAGGAATGAAATAGAAGAATAAGTAGAAGAAAGAAGAATTACCGAAGAATACAAAGAAGAAAGATAAATACGAAAATAAAAAAAGAAAACTGTCAAGAAATAAATAGAAGAATGAGAAGTAGAAAAAAAAGGAAAAAACTCAAAAATACAAAGAATAGCAAAAAATAATTAGGAGAATAATTTAAAAAATGACCTGAGTGTTAATGTGGGTAATTTTTTTTATGTTAATATTTAATTTCTTTGTTGAATATAATGCAAATTAAGGGATATATGCTTACTGTATAAATATTCAAACACACACACACACATACACACACACGCATACTCCTTTACACACACATATTCAGACACACACACACACACACACACACACACACACACACACACACACACACACACACGCACGCACGCACACACACGCACGCACGCACACACACGCACGCACGCACACACACGCATACTTACTCACACAAACACACACACAAACACGTATACTCACACACATACTCACTCACACACACACATAGTCACTCACACACACACACACACACACAAACAAACACATACAAATACATACATTCTACAATTACATAACCCTAATGCTTACCTCGGGCTGTTTAGCTTATCGTTGCCACCGAACACCGTAAAATAGTACGTTTGTCCCCTTTCCACGTATATCTCTGGGATAAGTATATCATTAATCCACCAGGCGATTCCCCAAGATGGTAATCCTGTGAAAAGCAGTTTAAAAAAAGGGATATTAGGTTATTGAAAGAAAGAAAGAAAGAAAGAAAGAAAAAGAAAATAGAAGAAAAAAAAAAATCGGTTCTTCAGTTTGAAATTGGGGTGGTCGCGAGAGGGAGGGGGAGGGGGAGGGGGGGAGTGATCTGTTTATTTGGGGGGGGGGGGGAGTCTGAGGGATGAGAAATAGCTAGTATGAACTGATTTTTTTTTTATTTTTATTTTTTTTATTTTTTTTTTTTACGTGAAGGGGGTGAATACTTAAATAGAGAATAGCTGTTATTATTATTGTTATTATTATTTTTGTTTTATGAAATATATTTTCTTGTGATTCATACGCATCAGTAATATTTTCTATTTGAAATTTTCATTCTTAAAAATTAAACATAGCAATTCATCTAATTGATAGCTTTCCTAACATTCTAAAATTTTGAAACTTCATACTTTTGATATTACCTCAAAAGCCATTTAAAAAAAAATCTAATCAAAAATACATAAGATAAATTTAGACAAATTCCTTAAGGAACGGAATATTTTCTTTTTTTATTAATAAAAGAAATCTTATAATTTCCAAACCTGTCTGAATTTTGTAATACCAATAACACATTTTTTTTTCACACCAACAACTACTCGTAATATTCAAAATCACATTTGAATTCTTATAATGATTATCTTTGAGCTATGTAATCTACGTAATATCCATGCCTGAAAATCAAAAGAAAAAATAAACATCTACTATGAATGCCAGATAAAAAAAGAAAAAAAAAGAAAAAAGGGAAAAAAACCAGTAACAACAGAAAAATTAACATAAATTTGCACAGATCAAAAAACAAAATAAAACAAAATCATAACACAAAATAATAAGCACACGAAACAAAATTTTATTGTGTCTATCAAAAGACAATTAAAATAAATAAATAAATACATTAACCAATTTTTTCTAACCGTTAAACATACCGTATATATATTTCATAACCGAAAAATTTACATATTCATATATATATTTTTTTATATAATTCATACGTTCAAGATGTTAATGTAAAATGAATCTGAATGAATGAAAAAAAAATCTAAAATACAGTGAATGACGATTTTATTTTATGAAATGATTCCCATATAAAAGAAAAAAACGGATAATTCATTAAAAACAAAAGGACGTTGAAAAAAGAAAAGAAAATCATGCGTGTAATTAGTTTCTTAATTTCATTTTTTCTTCATTTGGTATGAAAAAGTATGAAGAAACACTAACAAGCTGTGAATCATAGAAATGGAAGAGGAAATAAAGAAAATTGGAACAACACAGACTCACACTGTCTATGTATTTGTGTCTGTGTGTATATATGTAAACACTCATATTCACACACACGCACACACACACATACATATGTGTGTGTGTGTACGTGTATATATATATATATATATATATATATATATATATATATATATATATATATATATATATATATATATATATATATATATATACACACACACACACACTCACAAACACGTATACACACACACACACATGCACTTATATGTATGTGTATATGTATGTGTGTTTTACGATCAACTATGTATATTTACAAAAAAAATAACATTTTCCCCTAATGATGGCATTCTAAAAAAAAAGAAAAGAGAATAATCGCATTTAATTCTTTAACGAATGAAGAGGAGAAAGAAAGAGGAAAAAGAGGAGGAAGAAGAGAAAGGAGAGAAAGAAGAGAAAGGAGAGAAAGAGGAGAAAGGGGAGAAAGAGGAGAAAGAGGAGGAGGGGGAGGAGAAAGAAGAGAAAGAGGGGGAAATGAGGCAGAAAATGAAGTGTAGGAATAGGATGAGAGTGAAGAAGAGGCAAAAAGATGATGATGATGAGGAAACGAAGAAAGAGGAAGAGGAAATAACAGGAGGAGGGAGAGAAGGAAGAGAAGGAAGAGAGTGAGAAAGAAGAATAAAAAAGAAGACGTGAAGTGAAAAGAAGAGGAAGCTAAGTATCACAAAACGAAGGAAAAAAAATGTATAGATAAAATAATAGAAAATAAGAAAAAAATAAAAAAAGTGAAAAATACCATTTACATCTGATCACACAACAACAACAACAACAACAACAATAATCATCTGGTTCTAACTGCACCGCCATGGATGAGAATGCAACAAAAAAACAAAATGATAATAATAAAAAAAAGGTAAAAAACATGAACTTCGAAACATGATTACCTGAGTCAGTCTTGCCTGTGAAAAGGATGGAAAATGGAGGTGTTCAGTAACCTATTACTTAATATATTCAAATGGCAATGACAAAACTATAAAGGGTAAATATTTAAATATGACTCGGATGACAAGGGATTATGTAAATTATATGACAATGACTTTAATGTGAGAATCACCCAATGATAAAATGCAAATGAATTGATAAGTTAATGCATTTTTTAGTTGGGGAATAAGATATGCATTTAATTTGTCTTCCTTTATTTGCATATTATTGGAAGACGGAAACACAATGATCAGATTGTAAGAATATTGTGTAATATTAATAATTAGCTCGTAAAAGGTATTGTAAATGTACATAGGTTAAATCGTCATATTTGTAATAAAACAATGCTGTAAAAAATTGTATCATGTAGATATACCCAAAAATATTGCTTAAAATTCATCACCTACATTTGACAACTCCTAAAGGTCATTAAATATGGAAGCTGAGTTATCAAATTCCAAAATAGTGTTTAATGCAACCCACAACTGTAAAGTATATTTAAGTATTCAAAGATCGCGACAACCGTTAACGCAAACACACACATCCACCCCCATATATATATATATATATATATATATATATATATATATATATATATATATATATATATATTCACACACACACAGAAGAACGTGTATGCCTCTACCCTGTTGCGATTGAAGACTTGCCATAATCATTACTCAATGAACACCCAAACAATAAAACTGTAGTAATAAAAATACACTCCCTCACGAAGAGAAAAGGATCCCCCTTAAGATGCACTACACACACACACACACACACACACACACACACACACACACACACACATACACATACACTATCCCCACCCCCACCCCTCCCCACACACTACAATTACTCTTCCTCTTTACTCATCTCCATTCACGAAACTCAAACCAATAACCCATTCACAGAACTCACCCGCGGTCGCCTCCCGTAGGACAGAAACCCATTCACAAAACCCGAAACTCATTCACATAATCTGAATCTCATTCCCAAAACCCCCCAAACCCATTCATAAAACCCCCCAAACCCATTCATAAAACCCCTCAAAACCCCATTCTCAAAACCCTCCAAAACCCATTCCCCCCCAAATAAAAAACCCTAAAACCCATTCACACAAAACCCCCCTCAAAAACCCCATTCCCCCAAACCAACCCAACCCCACCCCCCACCCCCCAAAAAAAAAAATCACAAAACCCCTCAAACCCATTCACACAACCCCCCTCCCCCCCTCAAAAACCCCATTCAACAGAACTCACCCGTAATAGCCTTGTACCCGCGGTCGCCTCCCGTCGGACCGATCGTGGCCGTGAAATTGGTCGTCGCCCTGATGGTCCTGATGAGCCAAGGTGGAAACCTCGTGGTCTCTCGCTCCCCGCCGACCAAAACGCCGCAGGAGTTGTCGCCGGCGGAGCTGAAGTCCAGGAGCACGTGGTCTGGAGGAGGAGGGAAGTGAAGTGAGGGAAGTGAAGAGAGGGCGTGAGGGTTGTGGTCTGGGAGGGAAGGGAGGGAGGGAGGGAGGGAGATAGGAAGGGTGATTGTTTGGAAGGGTGTGAATAAGGAAGGAAGGGGGAAGAGAAGAAGGGAAGAAATGAGGAAGGATGGGAGATAAGATGGGAGGGAGGGAGATATTGAGAAGGGGAAGGAAGGAAGGAAGGAAGGAAGGAAAGAAGGGAGGGAGTGAAGGTAAGGATCTGAGAGAGTAGGTGGGAGGGAGGGAGGGACTGACGGTCAGGGAAGTTGTGGGGTAGATGTGTGATCTGTGTACAGTGTATGTGTGCTTAAAAATATAATATATATATCTGTGTATCTGCCTGTATGGACATTTATTTGTGGATATGTCGCGCTATCTGCATATACGTGCCATCTATTTTTCTGTTTATATGTCTATTTATATATATAACGTAAGTTGTGCAAATTTTTTTGAAAGCTCTGTTAACATTATGATAATAATTACAATAATAAAACCATAACACAATTTCTAATGTAACTTCTTTACCCTCCGCCTAATAAATTTACATTCTTCAAAAACATTGTGAAATAAACTATTTCGTATAATTTTATCACCATCAGTATTGTTTAGCTGTCGTTATTACCATTCCTATCTACCATTATCATTACCGTTACCATTATCATCATTACCACTATCGTTTTTATCATTACCATCACCATTTATAATCATCATCCTTTTTTTTCCCTCTTTAACCCTCATTCCCACCTACCATCCCCCTCTCCCCCTCCCCTCCCCTCCCACCCCCACCCACTTCTTACCTTTCGTCACGAATTCGTCGTGGTAATTGGCCTCCTTGCGGTTGTTAAGCTGACCGATGGCGGCGATGACGGTGATGGCGTCGGAGAAGCGGGAGATAGGCATGTCCATCTGGTCGTTCGTTTCGTAAGGTCTGCTGAACGTGATGGAGGTGATGCCGTTCCGCCGTTCGCCGCCGATGACCGAGGCGTCGTTCCGGCCGTTTATGCGCTCGTCGGGACACACGCCGAAGGTTCCGTCGCACTGGGGGGGGGGGGTGAAGAAGAGGAGGGGTGGTTGTTAGGAAGGGTAAGGGAGAGGGGTGAGGGTGTGTGTGTGGAGAAGGGGGAGAATGATTATTTATTGGATTGGGGTTAAGGACGGGGAGGTTGAGGGTTATTTTCTCTCACTGAGGGTTGGGAAATACTGCTTTCTCTCTCTTCTCTTTTTTTTTTTTTTTCTCTCTCTCTCTCTCTTTGTCTGTCTGTCTGTCTTTCTCTCTCTCTCTCTCAGTCTATTCATCATCAATGCAATTATCATCATGTCTCCAAAGGTCAATCTACCACTTATTCTTTCATTCTTTCATACCATTTCTAGTGAGATAAAATAATAAAACAATATTCTCCACACACTTAACCCACACCCAACAATTACAAATAATTCAACACATCTTCTTTATATATCACAGAAATATCGTAAAAAAAAATCTCACCTGCGACCTGGCTGTGACACTGTAGTCTATGGCGTGGAAGGAACCATCATCCGGATCGTAGTAGGCAACCACAATATCACTGTTCAGCATTTCGGGCCTTTGGGAAGAAAAGATAAGGATATTATTATTGGCAATGGGGATTTTAGTATTCATTAGATTTTTTAACCTCGTTTTTAAACTATTTTTTACTTGTTGGTCACGATTTTTTTTTGTCTAGTAGGTTTACTGTTAACGCAAATATGTTTTCCATTATTTGACTAATTTCTTGGGAAATGTGTTTATATATTAAATACACCAAGTATGCAGCAGCTACAATTTTCTTTGTATTGTGAAAATAATCGCTGAGAATTCAACTATGTTCTTTGATTATATTTATTAGTAAAGAAATGGAATGGTATATTTTATGGTATATTAACACTTTTAGGTCTTTTTCTTGGAAAAAATCGTTACAGGTTC